ATATTATTTTTTTTTGACTTTAAATAATAAAGAAAATTTACAATAACATGTTTAGGGTCACTGGGAATAAATAGGGTTGGTCGGGAAACCGTAACCACACCTATATTTTGTTTTGGCCTTAGACGTGACACCCTAAAATTTCAGAATCAACTTAAGGGCAGATGTGCATTTCCCTGAAGTAATTGATGGATTTATTTCGAGATTCGCAAGAAGTGGCAACTGTAATCAATACGAGTAAATTGAAATCGTGCATGTTTTTGAGAATATAGCTGTGATGAAGGTTCTAAGACATTTTATTGCTACTCTAGACAGTTTCTGTTACTCAAGCACTAACGGCAAGTGTCGTAAAAGTGGAGGAAACACGAGACTGGTTGGAAATTATGTTCGAAGTAAAGTCTTTATTATTTTATCCGTGTTGTGTCTGCTGTGCAGCTGCTGGATACAGAGATCAGGAGATTACAAGAGAAAGAGATGTCGCTGGAGGATATGGATAGTGATGCTTCCTATTACCTGAGAGAGGAACAGCTCAAGAAACGATTTGTGAAAGTTAGTGAAGTCCGCAAAGCATGCAAATCCGCTTCCACACGCAGCCTTTTAATTCCACCGATTCAAATTTCTATAAATATAACTCACTCAGTAAATACTGCTTTCCAAATATCTGTATGATCTGTATATCTGTGTATCTGTATGATAATAAGTTAGTATTTTTTTGGCTAAAGCTATAGCAGATATCAGCTATGCAGTGGTGTGGATAATACTAATAGCATTTCTTGCTCACAATATCTCATTTGTGTGCAATATTATTGTTTGTAGCTATTATTTGCTTCTAGAAGCTTCACACTCACACAGCACAGTCAGAAGCGTTTGAATTATTTGCCCAGTTGCAACACACCATAACTGAGAATATATTAACCAATTGTGAACAAGAGTGGTGATGACCAAGAGGTTTGTAACACTTGTATTCACGTGAAAGAACATGGATAAGTAGAATTTACATTGCAAACGGGGCTTAATACAACAATTGGAAGTCTGAAGCAGCAGTTACCGATCGATTTTCTGTGGACAGGTGTGAACATGTTGTGCGAGACTGAAGGGGAAGAACGTCAGAAAACGGGCGCCTACATGGAAAAGCGATTTTCGCTATGAAGTATGTTCGAGTGGTAACCCTGCATGCTCATAGTGTTCTTTACACAGACGTAGATGTTTAGATGTTAATTAATACCAGCCTTCTAGTGTTCAGCACCAGGCAAGGACTGACGTTGATCACTTGTCCCCCATTTGCTGTCTCCTGGTGTTCGTGTGTCCTGAGAATACTGAGTTTCTTCAGGCAGCCGCTATCATGAGGTCAATCGATCCGTCGAGGCGGCTTCATCAATAAGAAGCAAGATGATTTTCCTGATTTCCATGACATCTGCAGGGTAGTGGACAAGGTGAGGAATACGGCTCCTTTAAACTTGACTACGTCAGCGGAATTTTCTATGGTAAAAATTTTGTAAAAAAAAATGTGCAGATTTTTTTTATAACATTAAAAGTAAGAAACTAACCTTACCTAACTATGATCCTCAAACTCTCACCTGATGAAAAATGGTGTTTTTAACGTTGGCTTAAATTGCCAAAATCTAGACGGTATTTGGTATTTTGTTTTGTCTAACACTATTCGCCTCCAGTACCTGTTCAAGATACTGGCGTCCTCCTCGGGTTTTCACCGGCAAATTAGGGCCATAATAAAGACAAGATATGTAATGCATGAAAAAGGTAAAACAGAAACCTAATTGTATTTTTCTATTACCATTTTATTTGTACAAATATAACACATCAAATATACTACTTGATGGTGCTTAGAATTCAATGACGTACATTCGACTTTAATGCGTGCGTTTCAGATTTGCAAGCAATCAGAGCTGTCGACGTTCTGGGCAGATGTTTGCAAGCGAATGTCGAAATTTTCTTACCTGTTCTTATAATTATATGCCACGGCTAACAAGATTACATTTGGTGCGTGTGGTTAGTAGATATTTGTGTGTGTTGGTGCGTCCGCTTGTGCGTGTAAGTGTGCGGTGTAAGTGCGTGTGTTTGGCGTCCCGTGTAGGTTAGATTTGATTGAGATTAGTATGTATGCGTTAGTGTGTCGCGTGGCGTGCGTGCGTGCAATGGCACGCTCGAATTAACGACGTGAGGAGGGGGCAAGGCAATTTTTGCGGCCAATGGTGAGAAATTGCCTTGAATTTTCTCTAAAATTGGATGGGCACCGAGGCATTTTAAAAGGCATCAAGCAACTCTCACAATTTGAGAAGGCACCAAGGCCATTGTTATGGGAAAACTTTGTGTCATCGGTATGAATTCTAGCCTAAAATTTCTCTAAATTTACTGGCACTTGGGCAAGCTACACACGTCCAGATCACTGGCCATTCTTGCGCGAGCGTCGTTTCCCGCGCTTAAAATCGCACGCGAGGGCCCGAGTCCAGCGGTGCAGCATTTAAAATTCGTGTTTCTACCAACGGGCATACACAGGTGCACCTATTTATCGATCGTGGCAGCGGTTGTAGCAATACCACGTTATTGTTTTTTGGCTGCTGGTAGACTCGGTATCCCGCCTCACGCCTGCTAGAGAATCGTACACCGCTCCTGCGACAAACAGTGGCGGTCCGCGAACACCAGTCTAGGGCCAGAGGTCAGAGCACCGACGGCAATTACAGAAAAGGGCAAGGCAGGTCACTGCCGCGGTCGGGTTGGATTTTCAGGGCAGTCCCGCGATTGATAGGGCACGCTGGCAATTGCCGTCGGTGCCGCATCAACGGTCGTTAATTTCGAGCCCTGTGCGTCGCGTACATGCGTGACAACCGTGTGTGTGTGTGTGTCTAGCAGTCGCCGTCGCAGGCGATGCGTACATGCGTGCTGATTCGTAACATCGCGTCGCGTGCCGTCGCACTGCATGTAGGTTTAGAGTCAGATGAGATTACATAATGAGCGAGTGAGTGAGTACGTGGTGTAGTGTGGGTAAATATATATGTATAGATGAACGTAACTTCGTCACGCAGGTGAACGGCAAGGCTAACCTGTGCCTCAGCGCGTCCGGCGTGACGAGTCTCGCGCGCAGGTGTTCCGCTGATGTCGGAGAGCAGCTGGCAGTGCGATGCAGCGACCGCCGCGATTATCGCCGCCCGACAGTTGCCCGGCTGCCACCTGACGGACGTTGCCGCGGCGACGGCGGGGGAGGAGGGGGCGGCGGCGATGGATCCGGCGGAGGAAAGCGAGGAGCTGAGACAAGCACTGGACAGAAGCGCACGGGCGGTCAAACGAGAAGCGACTCGCGCAGGCATGTTCACTTGTTGTCGGTTTGATGTCGCACGAGGGTGGGGGTCGCTTGTTTGCCTGTCATTGGTTTTATGTGGCGGGGGTTAAGGGGGGGGGCGTTTACTTGTCGTTAGTTTGATGCGCTGGGGCGGATGTGTTTGCTCGTCATTTGGTTTGAGGGTGGAAGGCGGGTGTTGTTCACTTGTTCTTCATTTGACAAGAAGCGACTTGCGCAGGCATGTTTACTTGTTACTGAACAAATGAGAATCAACTTATACGGGCACGCTCGCTTGTTATTTGCTTGACAGGAAGCAACACCCCGTTCCACGAATGGCGATTCTTATTTTCAAATAACATTTATGTCAATACTCAAAAATTCACTGCGTTGACCATCTTTTTTTCGCTTTCTCATGCCGTCCGACTGATCGGTTAGTTTTTTCTGCCCTGTTCACAGGTGTTGGATAAGTATGAACAGAAAGAGGTGGAATTGGGTCTGCAACCCGAGGAGGTGTCGATATCTGGGGAGGTGGATAGCAGCAGCGACGATGCTGAGGAGAAGGAGGATGTCGTGGATGATGACGATGAAGGTGTGCAAGGGAGATGTCCTTCTTGAAGGTCGATCGGGGCACCGTGTTTACGCCCATCGAGGTTTCCCGCTGACGCGTAGAAAACAAAAGAACGGGTTGTTGCTGACGTCAGTGGGGAGAGTAGAGGGGTGGTTAGAGAGTATGGTTCCTTGGGGTTGCCATTATTTGATATTCAAAGTTTCGCTGACTGCAGCCAAAATGCTAGTAGGCATTGGGAGCAGATCTGATCTTTAGCTACCAAATCCAAATAGAGATTATGTTCTCAATATGAAGTTGCAAGTTGCGGAAAACATAGATCTGTGTAGAGAGAGTGTGTCGCTAATCGATACCGGTAGAATTTCCACCGGATTTGCGAAGAAATCAAAAATACTTTGTTGAAATTAGCCGAAAAGTTTTGTGCTGCTGTAGTATTAGCACAATTTATGGCCAGTCATGAATGCAGCAAATCTCGGCCCGACTAGGGAGTAGTTACGTTATTATGTCTGATATGATGGTTTTCATCATGCGTTCATAAGTTAAGACTTGAATTGATGCATCTTACATGTAAATTTTTCCAGTACTACAGTAATAAACACTGCTGTGTAAAATTTCCATCACATATATATTCTTTTATGTGATTTGACTGGCTCATAAAAGACCAAAATATGCCGAAAAGATACCGAAATTCTCAGCTATTGTTTACCAGATTGCACGTCATGCATTTTCCACGGGCAAGCTTGAGCCCGCGCATTGGTATCGTCTGTATTTCTCACCCAAGTGACAAGGTTTCGTTATCATAATTTATTTTGTTTCTTAACTGCTATAAATATAATGATGTGCAATAACTATGATGAGCTGGCATCAGAAAGTACAGGCCATTGAATGGTGTTCTCATTAACACACCACTAACATTGTCAGGTGACCAAAACCAGTAGCTAGGAAATTTCGTAAAGTATATCGGACTTTCAGATGTAGCTCTATGGTAAACCCTGACCACACTTTGCAGAAAGAGAGAGACGCGGTGAAAAGTGTTTATTGTTGCTGTACTGTGATTTTTACACAGGGTGCGCCCAGTGGCGTAGCCAGGATTTTTTAACAGGGGGGGCTAAAAACAGCGGACTGCGCAAAATATTGGATGACTTAATATTTTAATGGTCCCTCTGCCTGCCTCTCCACACCCTATGCTCCCCCACCTCGCAGCTCTGCAATCTTTGTTTTTGGCGCCATGCAAAAAGGCGACATTTTTGTTCGTTGTTCTCTGCTCTCAAGTTATGTAACTGTTCAGTGGCTGATCCAGGATTCCGAGGAGGGGGGGTGAAAAACAGGGGGGGGTATGGGGGTCCTCCCCCAGAAAATTTTGAAAATGTAGATCGCAGGAGATGGTATTTGAGGCACTTTTGAGTACATGTACAGCCTTCATTCTTATTACGACAATTATCTCTTTAGTAGTACAATTCTTATTTTTATTTTTTTTACTTTCGGATCAACTATGGCTATGGCAATCGGCTATGGCCCCCTTTGCCCCCCCCCTAACTATGTCACTGGGTGCACCTATTCAATGGTTATTGTTTGGAAGAGCTTTGTATCTAAATGGAACATGTCATCTGATATCTGTGTGTGTGTGTGCGTGCGTGTGTGTGTTGTAGTTGTTACTAGTGTCACAGCATGTGCCACATTAGATTTAGGTTGTTCTACGTGTGGTGTGTATTGTGCGTGTGCGAGACCAGACTGAATGAATTGATACAGGGATTTTCCGTATTAGATTTCATACATTACAATGTTGTGGAGACCATGTAGTCTTGTTAGTGACGAGGTTGTCTGTGTTTTTTGGCATATCTCAAAATCGATAGGACCAGCATGATTTATGAAATGAAATACAGGTAATTTTTTTAGAACGTTGAGGATAAAACAGTGGAATGTGAAAGGGTAGGTAGTATTGAGGATTTTTCTAGAATATCATGTTTGATGGATCCCGTGAGAAAAAATAAATTTTTCAGTAGTGATCGATGTCAGTATATAATTTGATAATTTAAATTTAAATTAGAAAAGATATTTCAAATGAAATTGAATTGATTTTAATTGAAAATTTAATAATAATTTGATTGAGGAGAACAAGAATTGCACTTTTTAATTGCACGTCAAAAGTACTTGTCTAGGGACCTGTTAGCTGTCAAGGGAACATCTTAGCTTGTAAGTCGACGTTTCAAATCCCTGGCAAAATGCTGTCGTTTCTCTGAATTGTGGTAGTTGATGTGACAGTGTTCTAGACACAGCTGTAGATTTGTTCTCCTGCAACGAACCACAGTTAGATAAACTCGTGACTGTGTTCATAGAACCAGTTACTTACCTACACTGTGTAGCGTAGTAGATACATTACTAATAGAATCAGATAAATTTCTCTGTACCATCAGACCATTGTAAATTTCAATTAAATGTAAACTTTCTTATACAATTTAGAGTATTTTTATGTACGAGTTTTTAATGAGAAATTGTGTAGCATGGGAGCAGTTAGAAGAGTTATTTGCCACGTGTAGATAATGTTTTCATATGTGTGTGTGTACGTGCATGTATATGTATCTGTGATTGTCATTGTCTAGATTTCTACATGTGTGTCTGTAGTCAGAGTATTTTCGTTCCCACAGTCAAACTTTTTTTTCAAATAATTCATTTGCATAATAGAAATTGAGCTATTGTTACAATTTATATGTGGTCTAATGATAATAAAGTAGCAATCTATGATATGCCTTGGGATGTGTTTTAGAGCTATTTACCAACAATTGTAAGATTTATTCCTATATATATGGATGTGTATATAATTATATATATATACTGTAGGTGCAGAGCCCCAGTCTTTTTCCCATTTACGTACGTATCCCAAGCGTTATGTAGGTCAATACTGTAATTACTACGTTAGCTGCACGAGCACTTGCAGGAGAATTACAGCATCCAACACATTATTACGATTTGTTTTCAAAAAATTCGGACACTCGATCTCTCGCGCTGGTAATCGTGCTGCGCGCGTCGCGATCGGTACGTTGCCGGGGAGACGAGTAGGAGATGCGAATGAGATACGGATCACGTACTGCGCTCCGGTGCGCCGTCTTGATGTGAGCGCTACTGAAAGAAGTCTGTCTTTGCAGACACGGAACAAGCTGACACGTCCAGAGACAGCCATGCAGACGAGGATGAGGAGGAGGAGGAAGACGGGGAGGTGTCTGAATCAGAGGAGGAGGACAGCAGCACGGGTATTGCCGGCATTGACTCTCAGTCTGCGGAAGATGAGGTAGAGCAGGAGGAGGAGGAGGAGGATGAAAGTGAACTTGAGGAAGAAGCAGAAGATGCGATGGAAGAGGAGGAGGCAGAGAAATCGGTGTCCGACGATATTGAAGGTACCAGTAACGACGTAACTGCGACGGAAGAAAATCCGCACGCAATCGGTGTCGAAAAACTCACCGCCGCCACCAGCGAGGATTCCACGGAGTTTAGTGGCAGCGCCTCCTGTCAGCAGGTGCCCACTAATTACATCGCTAACGCAGATGTTCCCAGTGGTGCCACCTCTGGGCAGTGCAGGACAACGACTGCCGGCAGTGCAGAGGAAGAGTTGGGGGGCGCCACTAGTGGAAGCAGCCAGAACGGCGGCGAGGTAGCGACGGTGAAACATGAGATCGCCACCAGAGGGCGCAGCGGTAGTGACGGCGATGCGGGGACGTCGATGTGCACTTCCGATCCCGCGGAGAATGCCACCAGAGGGCGCAGCAGGAGTGACGGCGACGAGGAGACGTCGCCGTCCTCCCCAGAAGCCATGCCCATCATCCTTCAGGAGATGCTGAGGGCGGATCAGAGCGAGGCAGGCGGCGGCTCCCGACGCCCGCCAGTAGGTGGCACCACCGTCGAAGTCATCGAACTGCTGGACAGCGACAGCGATGTCGAGTCGAACGAGGTTCGCCACGAGGGGGCGCCGGCGGGCGTCCGCGCGGCGCGACCGGAGTCGGAGCGGACGTGTAACAACGAGATTCGCGTGTTGAGCGTGATGAGTTTGTCGGCGGGTCCCAGCGGCCGCCAGGTAGCGCCGCAGGCGTTCCCGTCGTGGCAGCCGCGCGGCTCGTACGGTGGCGCCCCCCAGCAGCGACGGGTGGAACTGATGACGACGCAGCGGCAGAGCGCTCGCAAGTCGTTTCCCGTGTTGGCGGCGGTGGTGACGGGCGGTTCGCTTCGGCCCCACCAGATGGAGCCGGCGTTCATACCGATGCCGGCGTTGGACGTTGCCACGGCGACGGCAGCCACCGCCTCGCAGCATCTTGCTTACGTGGGGCGCACGAACGCAACAATGGCCGTCGGCATGTCCGTCGAACGGCGACTGACCGTGGCGCCATCTGGAATGGTCGCGCTGACCTCAGCGCGGCTCTCGGCGGCGACTCCGTACTATCGCGGCGCGATGCAGGAGTCGAGGCAACCGCGTCTCGCAGCATCCGTCGCGAACCCTCGCTGTTCATTACCGATGCTCGCGCCGCGACGCACACCCTCTCACACGCTTTCTAACTCCGAAGTTGAAATAGTGAAGATCGACTAGTCTAGACAATCGGTCGGTCGTTGGCGCTGCAACGCAGAGCAGTTCCCTCGTGTCTAGTTTCTCCTTTTTTCTAACCGGAAGTAGTGTCGTCCGATCTATGTTTTAACTTGTGCACTACTGTAGCTCCTCCTACTACTACATGCTATACCTCTGTCAGATAGCGTGCGGTCTGGTTCGTTATTAAATGAGTGGGCTATTGATCGATCGATTACAGGTGCTCTTGTGCAGTCGACCAGCTTTATTTTCCAAAGGTTGGGATCCGGTCTAGTTCATGGCGAGGTGCAGAACGATCAGATTAAACACGTGGTACATTCCATCAGTTCACATTCATCCTCATTGTATTTATTGTAGCTAGGTGTTCGACTGCGTGCAATTGTTTAATGAGCTTGAACAAGCAGAACTAGGTTTGATCCGTACAAAGCATGAATTCAGTTGTACATAATGTCACATCATTTGTTCGACCCACATTGAGGCTTGTATATATTTTAACTACAGAGCAGTATCAGCAACTGCCGTATAAATCGGCCTACTGTGTGCGTGACAGAGTATTTAACTCTGTTACATGTACAATGTATCCTAAAGATGGGACGGTAGCACACGTTAAACAGGACGGTCTTACATATAGCGTTACACTGTGCCTGTGTTTGAGCTGGTGTGTGGAGGTTACACTGTGCCTGTGTTTGAGCTGGTGTGGGGAGGTTACTCTGTGCCTGTGTTTGAGCTGGTGTGTGGAGGTTACTCCGTGCCTGTGTTTGAGCTGGTGTAGAGGTTACTCTGTGCCTGTGTTTGAGCTGGTGTGGGGAGGTTACTCTGTGCCTGTGTTTGAGCTGGTGTGTAGAGGTTACTCCGTGCCTGTGTTTGAGCTGGTGTAGAGGTTACTCCGTGCCTGTGTTTGAGCTGTTGTAGAGGTTACTCTGTGCCTGTGTTTGAGCTGGTGTGGAGGTTACTCTGTGC